GAGTTCCTGTATTGTAGAGCCCGTACAGTGTTCAGGCCTGGTGTGCATTTTGTGGGGCTAGCAGGTTGAGGCTTATCTGTAGCAATGACACTTAATTGTTTTTAGGCCTAGCTAAAACCATGGGTCTTGCATGAAGAACGCCACACACTCTGTACACTGATTTAAGAGTGGGGGCAGGGCTGTGTATATTGAAGCAGTCAGCATTACGTGTGAGACACTGTCCCCCTTTTTATCACCAAAAATAAGCAGCATGCCTTGGTGGTCTGGGGAGCTCATCCTTGGGGATGGGAGAAAATTCAAAAGCACATGTGGGGACTGATGCCCATGGCAATTCAGAGAGAAATGGGATCTGTATTATTACAGGGTAGGAGGCAGCCATCTCACTCCGTACATGTCTTGCACCTCTAATTTCCCCACATCCTCTAGGCCTGACTGACTCCCATGTGGAGCTGGTATGGCTGCAGCCTCCCTCACTGCTGCTGTGGGAGACATGCACTCATCTCTAGCTCCTCACAGAGGCTCCTTCTCTGATGCTTCCTTCTTCCCTTCCTAGTTTCACATCTGCCCCCTCTTTGTGAATGTTTTCCACTGCCCATCACAGCCGTGAACTCCTTAGTTCTATCTGCTTCCACTGTCCTGCCTAATGAATGTAAGCCCCATAACTCCCCTGAATTGCTACAACCTTCCTCTTGCTCTGTTTTACCTTCTCCAGATTCCTCACAGAAATTCTTTCTGGTCTGTGTCTTGCAATCGCACACCCCTACCAGCTAGGGCGGGATCTTAGCTGTGTGGGTGTGCGGCCCATTCTCCAGTCTGCTGTTTTGAATTGGAATGGTTCAGCCAGTTGTGGCCAATCCTCTTCCAAATGCTGGGGGGGAAGCTGCTGAAAGCTTGTACCACTATTTATGGCACTCCTTTTGAAGCCCGTTGAAGGCATCCATCAAAAGATGTTAGGCTTTGGAGGGGCGGGGGTCACTGTGTGAAAATACCCTTCTCTGATTATCAAGGCTTTTCCCCCTCTCACTGCTCTCTCCCATCTTTCCTGGCAGGTCGCTGCGCCCCCATGAAGAGCATCTCCAGCAGCCTCAAGGAGACCATGAACCCCCATGATATTGTCCAAGATGCCATCCACAACTTCTCCCCTGCCTACCAGCAATACACCCAGCAGTCCACACTAGAGCACGGTCCACCCTGGCGCAATGGCAGCCATATAATCTCACGCTCCCACAGCTGCTCGGGTGCCCGGGACAATGAGAAGACCCTCCTGCTGAGCTCGGATGACGAGTTCTAAAAGAGGCCCCCGCCCCAAAGCTCCTCCCTGAGGCCAGTGGCTGCAACCATCCCAGTGTAGCCTGGAACCTTCCTCTTTATTTATTGAACCAGAAGTCATGTCACTTCCTGAATGGTGCTCAGTGCAGAATTGGGCACTTCCCAGTAGCTTTTGTGGGTGTGACGTCATGACTGGGGGGTATTGGTTGGGACTGTGTTTTCACACATTCTCTAAAGCAAAGATCAACTGGACCATGTTTTTTTCTCACTAATAACTGTTTAAAAAGCATGAAACACACATGGCAATAGAGGAGCCCTAAGAAAAAGTGAACCCTTTTATTTTTTTCAAGAGTAGGGGGATGAGTATAGGAAAAACTTCAGGAAATGAGGTCATATCCTCCCACCACTTGGGCAAGTTTTGTGGAACATGATTGGCTGGAATGAGAAGTGGCCAAAACTTTTTTTTTCTCGGTGAACAGCTACATTACTTTGTGCTCTGTTTTTGCGTAGTGGTTAACAAGGACACGGCATATCCCCCCCTCTACCCACCACCACACACGGCATATCCCCTCCTCCCTCCCACACACACATTGTTTCCCTCTTTTTCAGCTCCTCCCTATTAATGTCTCTGTACCCTTTGGGCAGTATGATAGACACACCTGTAAAATTCCTGATGACCATATCAGACCATCAGTCCTCTCTGCTTCTCTGTTCTCTGGCTATTGTTGGAGGCTTTTGTTGAAAAGAAATCCATTTCCCAATACCCCTAATTATGCAATATTGTACTTCCGGGACAGAGAGGGCGACAAATTTCTTCCCAATCCCAGCTGGTAATCATGTAAAGCCCTGCAAGATGGGCATATTTGAGCCATTTTTTCCCTTTTGTGGGTGAGGAGTTTTATGATCACATGGGTGGTTAGACTTCCCATCTTACTCCTGCCTTATAGAAGTAGAATTCCTCCATGAGTGTCTGGCTGTCCCTCCTAGTAAGTCTTCGCACCAGCCATACTCAGTAACTAACGTTAAATACTTGTGGTTAGAGGTTAATAGAATATATTTCTGTGTAGTGGGGACATTTTAACTCCAAACTGTCTCTCTTTGAGACTCTCTTCCCCTTCCAGAACTTTATCTTGCAAATAAATTCTAGAACATGCACCATTCCTTCCCCACTCTTCTGACAGCCTCCTGCCAATCTTGTCACCCATTGATTTGCCTTGCAGATTGAAGGCATATTGCAACTAGGATGGGATGTTAAATACTCCCTCCTCATCTTCCTCTTTGGTCAGGGCTTAACTGGGTCTGTTGGAGTTGTTTACACATGGTGGCCAATCTGTCATGCACCTGCGTTGTCCCATGATCGCCCAGGGCTGAGTTGCTACTCTATAATCCCTGTCATGACTAATGTTGTAAAGGCTTGAGCCAAAAGCCACTGAAGTTGGTGAGATTCTTTCCATTGGCTTCAGTGGGCTGTGAAGGTGGCCTTTGAGGGCCAGCAGAGGGACAATAAAGTCTCCCAGAAGAGCCAAAAATCTTGCCAGGCACAAAAAAATGCCTATTATTGGACTTCCCTGCTGCTGCTCTGTGCCTGTATTAAAACTGCCCACTGAAAGGGAACTGAAACCAGGTGGTTAACATAAAGCTGCTGCTTTTCCTCCCAGCTGGGCTTCTCTTCGTTCCTTCCCCATCATTAGGAACAGTCCTAAGCTGCTACTATGGCTTATGGCCCCTTGGCTAGTTGGAGTCAGTGAGCACCTGTTCTGTCATGGTGTGTCCAGCCCCTCGGCTGCGGGAGGCCTGATGGGAGGAGCTAGGGCCTGACTTCTTTTGCATGTGTCTTCCCCTACTTGTCTGTGCCTTAATTTTCACAAGCAAAGATCCCAGCTGCAGCACCTTTGGAAATTACCTATTCAGAAATGGTCTTGTTGGTGGAGAGTGTATATGGGCTAGAGGCGAGCCTGTTTCTCCTTGGGATGTCAGTGCACGTGTGGTTTGCTTTCCACTTTATGCTATTGAGAATATTCTCTAGGGAGGTGGGTACATTCAGAACACCTTCCGCTCCCCCTACCTCAAAGCTGCCAAAGGGCCTACGGACAATAGGGAGGGTGGTTTCTCTGAGGGGGGTGGGAGCAGAACATCTAAAAGCACTATTGGTATCCCCTCAGCCTTTAGTCCCAGGCAATATATGGTGCTTCCTTCCCACCCCACCCCTTTAGTCATTCACTGCTTAACTGAAACAAACACTAATTATCAGGCCTTTCTCCACCTGCAGTCCTACCACGATGGAGGACTGAAATTCACACAGGCCTGCCTTTGCTTCACAACTATCCCTCATCTCTCTCATTACTTATTGACTCTCTCAGGGGGCCACAGAACCCTCCTTTTTTAACAGGGCTGTCCAGTCCCTGTATTTCCAGCTGCCATGTGTCCCCAACCCCCTATCTCACTTTAATTTGTTTGTAGTGAGTCTCCTGATGTCCCTCCCTTGGGTGGAGGGAGGTGGCTGAAGTTTGGAGTGGCCTGGGGTGGTGCCCTTGACCCTAAGATATTCAGACTTTTAGGGAGGGTTTTTTTATTCTATTTTAAAGCGGATGCTGCATGTGCTGTGTGTAGGATCTGGATATTCTTGAAGCTTCCTGTGCTTAGTGGTTTAAAGTATAACCCTTTTGGCACTAGTCGCCTTTGGAAAAACAAAGAAACGTGGTAGACTCTAGAGCCGCATCACAGCCAGCTGCCATATGCTTGGTTTTATCACTACAGAAACCTCTCTGCAAAGCTTGCTGCTTACCTTCAAGATGGGCAAGTGCCAGAACGTGAAACTGACTGGCTGGCTAATAAGAAACAAGTACTCGATACAACTTAGTGCTGGAGGTCTGGGCTAATCAGTCCATTGACGGCGTATATCCAGCTAATGGTAGCTCAGAACCCTCGCACCTAGGCCAGTCCCCACAGTAGGCCCTCAGTGCTGCCCACTCCCTCTCCTGCTCTTTCTCCTGTGCCCTTTTTTACCATGTAACTTACCCATGGGATTTGTTTATTTTTTTTCCATATAGAGTAGTTCTTTGTATATAAACGACTGGAAAAAATGTATGATAAATAAGACAGAGTCACCTAGTTTTGTACCTATCGTGTATAACTTGTGAGCTCAGCGACAAGCCGCTCTCTATTTTGGTCTTTGTGATGTTATAATACTCTGCAGATACAAGCAAATAAAATGACAAATAAAAATATATAGATTGTATTTAAACTGCCTCTGCCTCATGGTGTGTGGAGTTCTCCCTGCTCGGATCTTGTGACCTCTTTTGCCTCTTGCAGGGGCCTGAGCCACTCAGGCCCTGTCTGCTTATATGTCATTCAGGGTTTGTGAAAAAAGACCTCGAGCAATGTAACTTATACTGACTGACACCCCAGTGTGAACAGCGCTACAGTGGAAGGAGAGCTTCTCTCACCAAAATCGCTATTGCTGCTAGTGGAGGTGGTTTTATTAGGTATTGCATAGAGCAGCTATGCAAGTGATCTTGCAGCAGCACAGCTGCACCAGTATAGCTGTAAGCTCTCCAGTGTAGATGTGGCTTCCATCAAGTTTCTATCCTGTGGCTTTCCTTTACAAAACAAAAGCTCTTCCTTACAGTCTGTATCCGTCCATCTCCACCTCCTGGCAGCGCTCAGATTTGATGGGGATGTGTGTATGTCTAAATAAAAGTGCTGAAGAGGAACAGGACCTAAGCAAACTGAGGACAGGGCCAGATGGTAGAAGACCTGCTTTCTATTCCTGGTCTGCCACTGAGACTGTTCCAAACAATTTGCCCAAGAAAACCGAAATGGACTGTTGTATGACGTATGGAATCTGATTTTTCAGAGATCCTGAGCATTACAAGTCCAATTTAAGGCATGAGGGGGTGCAGGAGGTCAGCCTTTTTGAGAATCATGCTGCCAGGGCCTGGCACCCAAAATGAGTGGACATGTTCTCTACAAATCCATGCTGACAAGCTGTGTCAAACCAATCTAATAGCTTTCTTTTACAGGGTAACCAGCCTTGTGGAAGGGGGGAGGCGGTAGATGTGCTATATCTTGACTTTAGAATGGCTTTTGGTGCTGTTTTGCATAATGTCATAAACAATCTAGGAAAATAAAACCTAGATAATTACACTTGTGGACTGGTTTTATCAGTGGTTCACAATCAAGCTGGAGGGATATATATCAAGTGAGGTCCTGCAGGGATCCATTCTGGGTCTGGTTCTGTTCAATATCTTGATCAAAAATTTAGATAATGACATAGGAAGTTCACTTAAGGAGTCTGTGGATGATATCAAGATGGAATGGGTGTGGTTGATAAATCATTTGAGAATAAGATTAACATTCAAAATGGGCTGGACAAACTGAGAAAGCGGTTGGAAGCGAACAGGATGAAGTTCAGTAAGGAAAAATGCAAATTAGTGCACTTAGAAGGGAACAATCAGTTATACACATACAAAATATGTATGTGCCTAGGAAGGAGTACTGTGGAAAGAGATCTAGGGCTCATAGTGGATCTCACACACACACACACACTCACACACAAAAAGTGGTCAGTATAACACTGCAAAAAAAAGCAAACATTCTGGGATGTTGTGTTGTAAGCAAGATGTGAGAAGTAATTGTTCTGCTCTACTCCAAGCTGAGTGTGCTTCACCTAGTGTATTGTGTCCAGTTCTGGGTGCCACATTTCAGAAAGGATGTGGACATTTTAGAGAAAGTCCAAGAGAACAGCAACAAAAATGATTAAAGATCTAGAAAACGTGATTAAAATTATAGGAAGATTGGAAAATGTTGGATTTCTTTAGTCTGGAGAAGAGAAGAATGAGGAGATATAACACTTTCAAGTACATAAAAAGGTTGTTACAAGTCTCACGCTCCCACAGCTGCTCGGGTGCCCGGGACAATGAGAAGACCCTCCTGCTGAGCTCGGATGACGAGTTCTAAAAGAGGCCCCCGCCCCAAAGCTCCTCCCTGAGGCCAGTGGCTGCAACCATCCCAGTGTAGCCTGGAACCTTCCTCTTTATTTATTGAACCAGAAGTCATGTCACTTCCTGAATGGTGCTCAGTGCAGAATTGGGCACTTCCCAGTAGCTTTTGTGGGTGTGACGTCATGACTGGGGGGTATTGGTTGGGACTGTGTTTTCACACATTCTCTAAAGCAAAGATCAACTGGACCATGTTTTTTTCTCACTAATAACTGTTTAAAAAGCATGAAACACACATGGCAATAGAGGAGCCCTAAGAAAAAGTGAACCCTTTTATTTTTTTCAAGAGTAGGGGGATGAGTATAGGAAAAACTTCAGGAAATGAGGTCATATCCTCCCACCACTTGGGCAAGTTTTGTGGAACATGATTGGCTGGAATGAGAAGTGGCCAAAACTTTTTTTTTCTCGGTGAACAGCTACATTACTTTGTGCTCTGTTTTTGCGTAGTGGTTAACAAGGACACGGCATATCCCCCCCTCTACCCACCACCACACACGGCATATCCCCTCCTCCCTCCCACACACACATTGTTTCCCTCTTTTTCAGCTCCTCCCTATTAATGTCTCTGTACCCTTTGGGCAGTATGATAGACACACCTGTAAAATTCCTGATGACCATATCAGACCATCAGTCCTCTCTGCTTCTCTGTTCTCTGGCTATTGTTGGAGGCTTTTGTTGAAAAGAAATCCATTTCCCAATACCCCTAATTATGCAATATTGTACTTCCGGGACAGAGAGGGCGACAAATTTCTTCCCAATCCCAGCTGGTAATCATGTAAAGCCCTGCAAGATGGGCATATTTGAGCCATTTTTTCCCTTTTGTGGGTGAGGAGTTTTATGATCACATGGGTGGTTAGACTTCCCATCTTACTCCTGCCTTATAGAAGCAGAATTCCTCCATGAGTGTCTGGCTGTCCCTCCTAGTAAGTCTTCGCACCAGCCATACTCAGTAACTAACGTTAAATACTTGTGGTTAGAGGTTAATAGAATATATTTCTGTGTAGTGGGGACATTTTAACTCCAAACTGTCTCTCTTTGAGACTCTCTTCCCCTTCCAGAACTTTATCTTGCAAATAAATTCTAGAACATGCACCATTCCTTCCCCACTCTTCTGACAGCCTCCTGCCAATCTTGTCACCCATTGATTTGCCTTGCAGATTGAAGGCATATTGCAACTAGGATGGGATGTTAAATACTCCCTCCTCATCTTCCTCTTTGGTCAGGGCTTAACTGGGTCTGTTGGAGTTGTTTACACATGGTGGCCAATCTGTCATGCACCTGCGTTGTCCCATGATCGCCCAGGGCTGAGTTGCTACTCTATAATCCCTGTCATGACTAATGTTGTAAAGGCTTGAGCCAAAAGCCACTGAAGTTGGTGAGATTCTTTCCATTGGCTTCAGTGGGCTGTGAAGGTGGCCTTTGAGGGCCAGCAGAGGGACAATAAAGTCTCCCAGAAGAGCCAAAAATCTTGCCAGGCACAAAAAAATGCCTATTATTGGACTTCCCTGCTGCTGCTCTGTGCCTGTATTAAAACTGCCCACTGAAAGGGAACTGAAACCAGGTGGTTAACATAAAGCTGCTGCTTTTCCTCCCAGCTGGGCTTCTCTTCGTTCCTTCCCCATCATTAGGAACAGTCCTAAGCTGCTACTATGGCTTATGGCCCCTTGGCTAGTTGGAGTCAGTGAGCACCTGTTCTGTCATGGTGTGTCCAGCCCCTCGGCTGCGGGAGGCCTGATGAGAGGAGCTAGGGCCTGACTTCTTTTGCATGTGTCTTCCCCTACTTGTCTGTGCCTTAATTTTCACAAGCAAAGATCCCAGCTGCAGCACCTTTGGAAATTACCTATTCAGAAATGGTCTTGTTGGTGGAGAGTGTATATGGGCTAGAGGCGAGCCTGTTTCTCCTTGGGATGTCAGTGCATGTGTGGTTTGCTTTCCACTTTATGCTATTGAGAATATTCTCTAGGGAGGTGGGTACATTCAGAACACCTTCCGCTCCCCCTACCTCAAAGCTGCCAAAGGGCCTACGGACAATAGGGAGGGTGGTTTCTCTGAGGGGGGTGGGAGCAGAACATCTAAAAGCACTATTGGTATCCCCTCAGCCTTTAGTCCCAGGCAATATATGGTGCTTCCTTCCCACCCCACCCCTTTAGTCATTCACTGCTTAACTGAAACAAACACTAATTATCAGGCCTTTCTCCACCTGCAGTCCTACCACGATGGAGGACTGAAATTCACACAGGCCTGCCTTTGCTTCACAACTATCCCTCATCTCTCTCATTACTTATTGACTCTCTCAGGGGGCCACAGAACCCTCCTTTTTTAACAGGGCTGTCCAGTCCCTGTATTTCCAGCTGCCATGTGTCCCCAACCCCCCATCTCACTTTAATTTGTTTGTAGTGAGTCTCCTGATGTCCCTCCCTTGGGTGGAGGGAGGTGGCTGAAGTTTGGAGTGGCCTGGGGTGGTGCCCTTGACCCTAAGATATTCAGACTTTTGGGGAGGGTTTTTTTTAATCTATTTTAAAGCGGATGCTGCATGTGCTGTGTGTAGGATCTGGATATTCTTGAAGCTTCCTGTGCTTAGTGGTTTAAAGTATAACCCTTTTGGCACTAGTCGCCTTTGGAAAAACAAAGAAACGTGGTAGACTCTAGAGCCGCATCACAGCCAGCTGCCATATGCTTGGTTTTATCACTACAGAAACCTCTCTGCAAAGCTTGCTGCTTACCTTCAAGATGGGCAAGTGCCAGAACGTGAAACTGACTGGCTGGCTAATAAGAAACAAGTACTCGATACAACTTAGTGCTGGAGGTCTGGGCTAATCAGTCCATTGACGGCGTATATCCAGCTAATGGTAGCTCAGAACCCTCGCACCTAGGCCAGTCCCCACAGTAGGCCCTCAGTGCTGCCCACTCCCTCTCCTGCTCTTTCTCCTGTGCCCTTTTTTACCATGTAACTTACCCATGGGATTTGTTTATTTTTTTTCCATATAGAGTAGTTCTTTGTATATAAACGACTGGAAAAAATGTATGATAAATAAGACAGAGTCACCTAGTTTTGTACCTATCGTGTATAACTTGTGAGCTCAGCGACAAGCCGCTCTCTATTTTGGTCTTTGTGATGTTATAATACTCTGCAGATACAAGCAAATAAAATGACAAATAAAAATATATAGATTGTATTTAAACTGCCTCTGCCTCATGGTGTGTGGAGTTCTCCCTGCTCGGATCTTGTGACCTCTTT